CAAATGATGTGGATAAAAACACAGCTATCTGATTATGGGTTTAAATTTCAAAATATCCCTGTCTGGTGTGATAATACAAGTGCAATATGTATGACAAAAAATCCTGTTCAACACTCCAGGACTAAGCACATTGAAATCAAATTTCATTACATACGAGATCTTGTGCAAGCAGGTCATATAAATCTACAGTTTATACCCACAGAACATCAGCTAGCCGACCTATTCACAAAACCCCTGCCTAATGAACGATTCACGTATCTCTGTACCGAATTAGGTCTGAGATCCTTTCACCAAACTTAGCCTCCAAAAATTGAAAGATGATTGGGTGTGGTATTCTCTAGGACGTTAGGATTAGGACTAACCTTTCTCTAGCTAAAGCTAACTCTGAAAGCAAAAACGTTTATTGGGTATGGTTTACTCTAGGTAACCACCCCGTCTTGATTTACAAAACAAAATCTCTTTTCAGAGCATGCGTGTAAAACTGAACTTTTCTGTTAATCATTATGCTTCGGCATTAGAAGAGAAACTCTTCGTCTTCCCTACTGCTCTCAGCTTGCACACTCTATATAAACCATATCCCTAAGCCAATTTCTCCTCACCTTTGCTTCAACAAACCTCGAGTAAAACCATCAAAATCTTCCCTGCTAGAAAAATCAAATTTTCAAGATGAGTGATCACCTGCCCCGACCTTTTCGATTCGAAGGGTTAGTGCATACCTATCCTGGGTACATGTTCCATGAACCTGTGGTGATCAATCATCATCGTCATCTTCAACATTTCGAGAATAGAAGGTTGCATCACATTATTCAGCTAGATCCCTATGAGTTCAACCTCTACAAATACGATATCATTTCTCTCATTGAGGCTCTCGGATGGGATTATCTGCTGCGTCAACCTCTGCATCCAGCATGCCCTGGTGCAGTGAAGTACTTCTACTCGAATCTAAGGTGTCAAGGAATCAGCACCAGAAGCTTCTCAACAGTCATCTATGGCCATCTTCTAACCATTCCAGTTGCAGCCCTGAATGGGATCCTTGGATTTCCTGATCAGGGATTAGATATCGCTCATCCCTCGGAGTTCTGGAAGCATGACTTCATTCTTCCCACTGAATATGCAAACTTCTCCACAGAGCCGACTGGAGGAACTGATGTGCCGATTCCAATTGGATGGTTAACTCCGCGTTTGAGGATCTTCCATCATTTCATCACACATGTGTTCTTCCCTAGAACATACAATCTTGATGTTGTCCTGCCACTTGATCTCTGGATCATTGCAAGTGCAACGGCAGGACGCAAATTGAATTTTTCCAGCTTGCTGTTTGCAAATCTCCTCCCAGCTGGGGATGAACATTACCAAGGACTTCTCCCTTTCGGGTCTATCATTACTCGAATGCTGGTCAATCTAGGGATTGACCTATCAGATCACAGAAGTGTATCCCACACTATGTATGTTGGAGCTCTCAATGTCTTAATGATCCTCGATCTACCCACTGATGTCTCTCCATCACCACCTCCACTTCCATCCACCTCTCTGCTAGGCCCTCACCCAAAACCTGTCACCTCTGACAAAGGAAAGTCAATTGCTGGCGAATCCAGCAAGAATGCTAATCTAGTGTTTACAGTCTCTGATGGAAATTCCTCCTCAGATGACTCTGCAGGGTCTGCTCAAGAAGGACCATCCTCTCTCGTTTAATTGTCTGCTAGTTCTTAGGGGGAAATCTTAGATAGCTTTAGTTGTTCTCTCTGTAGTTTAATTTTTAGTTGGTAGTTTCTTTTTGTTGCAGTAGTTTAGGGGGAAGATTTTAAGGAGTTGGATCCTTTTGTAATGATGGTATTCTCTTTATCAAGTAATGGTAGTTTCGATTTCCTATGCTCTCTGCTGGCTTTCTTCTGTTTTGTGTGTTTCAGGTAAGCCCAGACTTCTCGGACGAAGGGGGAAATTGATGATACGGTGACGTTTTCGTCCCAAGTTCATACGACAAGACATGCTGCACTTAAGTTCCACACGACGACGTATTGAACTCCAACAGTCACTCGCTTCATCGTCCTTCTAAGTCTGCTGAATCGAGCAGAACTGATCATACACTCAACCCTAGCCTCTCGATCATAGCCTCCCACCTACCTACATGAAACGGCGAAAAAGCTCAACTCTGATCGTCGGTGATGAAGCACAGACATCACCGACATCCCACCAAAGACATGATGGAGTTTAAACGGCTCTATTCCAGTGCAAACGGTCAAGACAGATTTCTAGGTATAAATAGACTTATGTTTGTTCGTTTAGAACTTGGTAGCGATAGAGAAAGAATCTGGAGAATTCTTAGGCTATCTTAAGTCCGGTTGTTTCTCTTCAGTAGTTTGATTCATAGTGATTATTCTGGGTGGATCAAGCTTGGGAAGAGTGTTGTTGTTTGTGTGTGTACAAAGTGCCAACTCAGTTGGCACGACACAGAGTGGTTTAATTGCCTCTCTGGTGTAATTTCTTCTTTCAATCAATAAATTGGTTTGTTTACTGTGTTCCAGCCGTATTTCTTCGTCTCAAATATCCAACAGAAGGACTGTACTTGAAAGAATCTGCCCCCAAAATTAAGGGAAGAACCCTAATTTCTATTCTTCTAGTTCTTCGGCTTCTATTTTAGATTCCTTCTGCTTCTACCAAAAAACAGAAAACTTCTCTCGCTTCCACCTCCGATTTTCCTTCTCCATGTTTCCTCCCAAAAATTGAATGTACTAGCATGTCTGGGTTTGATTTCCCAGCCTTCCTAGTTAGTGAATGGAGAGGGAAAGAATACGGGGTTGTCAGAGAATGGGGAGAGAGGAGGAGAGCGGCGACACAAGTTAAAGGTTGCGATGCGATTTAGAGTAGTGTGGCGCTCGAAATCTCTTATAACGTTGGAGTTCTGGTTTCCGCATTCGCTGAAGCTGATGGTTCAATGATGGTTTGGAGCAAAGCGAGCTTCAGATCCTTACTCTGCGTAGGTGAATGATGAAGTCTGCCGGAGCGAAGAAAGGTTTGAGCGACGAGTGTGGACTGAGTAAGCTGAAGTTGTGGTTGCGATTTAGAGTAACGTGGCGTACAGATTCTCTTTCCTACCGGAGTTCAGGTTCCGGCAGTCGTTGAAGCTAGGGGTGGCAGTCGGTCGGTTACGGTTTAATCGAAAACCGAAAACCCGGTTATCGGTTAAACCGAGCCACCCCTTATAGCTGCCGACCACCGACCGTGAGAGAGGTCATGGTTAGCCGGCCAACCGGTTGGTTTCGGTTTTACGCTCAGTTAGTGGATTTTTATGTTTGTAGTTGTTTTTAGACTTAAATATTTGAAATGTTTTATGACTTATCTGTTGAAAAGTTTGATTTTATTATTGATGATGCATATAATTGATATTTATTGTTTATATTAGGGGTTTAAAATAATTTAAAAGTGAGAAAATATAAGTAGCTTCACAAATTCGGTTTTGTGTGAAAAACCGAACCAAACCGAATTATAATTCCGTTTAAACTGATCGAACCGAATTATAATTCAGTTCGAATTCGGTTTGAGGTTTGGGAGAATTCGGGGACCCGGTATTCATAATTTCGATTCGGTCGAAACCAAACCGACCGAATGCCCACCCCTAGGACGCGGCAAAGAAGCTCCACCGTCGCCAGGGCGCGCTCCCCGTCGCACTTGTCGAAATCGGGCCGCCTGTCCACCAGCGTCTCCGCCGCGCCCGCGCTCACCGCGTCCTGACGACGACCATCGCCGCGGAATTCACCCGCGTCCCGACGAGAACCGCCAGCGCCTCGAGGCGGAGCGGCTCCTCGCCGCCGCCGCCAAACGCGATCCGAATCAGAACCTCCCTGGCGTTGTGGGCGGAAATCATGGAGCGATTCTTGTCCGAGAGAGAGCGAACCAAGGAGGGCTCGGCGGAAGGGTTGAGCGGCGAAGGTCGAATGCTTTGGGAGGAGAAGGGAGTCGACTTAGGGTTAGGGAGGAGGAGGATTGAAGCGAGGTCCTTTTGGGGAAAGGAAAGGGGTCGGTTAGCCGGTTAACCACCGGTTTCTGACCACGGTTAGTCGGCTAGCCGAACCTCTTCCCATCTCCACCGCCAACCGACCGATGCAAGCAGAAACAGTTTTTCGGTTAGCCGAAAATCGGTCGATTCGGTTGAACCCGTCCGGTTAACTGCTAATCGGAAACCGTTCTGCCACCGTAGTTGAAGCGATGCTTGAAGATGAAGTATCAAAGCAAGCTTCAGATCCTTACTTTGCCGCTAGCGAAGGATGGAGACAGCCGAAGCGAAGAGGGTTGCAATTTTGGAGTGATGAGTGAGAATTGGGGCTGGAGTGGGTCTAGGATAGAGTCAGTAACCAATGGTTACTGACCTGTCAGTAATTAAATCCGGACCGTAGATCTAGGGATGGAATTATCATATGGTTGGGCTGCACGCGGAGTGAGGAGGGGCATTTTTGTCCTTTTTTTGAATTTGATATCTTTTTTTTCCAGCATTTATATGTTTGTCTTTTAATGGAGGAAAGAGAAAAGCATACTTCTCTCTTCCTCTCTCTTTTATCTTTCTCTCTTCCTTTCTCTCTTCCAAACTCCTTTTTCCCGATCTAAATCTCCTTTTTTCTCTTGTTCTTCATTTTTTTCTCCAACAATCGATGAAGAAATTGCAGCCTCCCACCTCAAATCCGGTGACGCTCCAAATCCTTCTTCTCTCAAGCTGCTCCTTCCTTCTGTTTTTTTCTTTTCTCGACCTCAAAATCGATGACGCTCCATATTGTAAAAGAGGGGACAGATCTAGATGAGTTGAGTTTGCATCTTTTTGTGTTTTAGTATTTGTTTGTGAATTAATTCCGATTTTTTCCCTCTTTTTCTTTCTTTTTACATTTGGTGTTCTTGATTGCAGAGGAGTAAATGAGAGGAGACAGAAGACGAGTTTTTTTTTTTCTCTTCCTCCTTCTGTTCCCCTTTTTTGAGAATATATATTGATATTACCACACTATACCATATGGTAATGTGTGCTAACTAAATGTATTTTTATAGTCACGAGTTTTATCATGGTGGTAGTGGGTGGTAATCGACACCAGTTCCGAGAAAGAAGAGTTAGAAGACAATGAAGGGAGAGAAGAAAGTCGTAATTGTATATATATATTGAGATTACCACACTATACCATATGGTAATGTGTCTATACCATATGGTAATGTGTGGTAACGAAATGTATTTTTATGAATATAATGTTTTTACTATGGTCGTAGAGGATTGTAATTAGATTTACATGGTTTTACCTTCTCATACCATGTGGCATTATATGGTAATTATAATTAATTTGTGGTCCTTTGATTTACCATGTTCTACTATGGTGGTATTGTATGCTAGTTAGATTTATAATTTTCTGTAGCGTGGTTTACCAAGTTATACCATGTGGTGGTAGTTTGATTTGTAATTTTATTTTAGCATGATATACCATATGGTATGGTATGGTAATTAGATTTGTAAATTTTTGTAGCATGTTTTACCATGTCATACCATGTGGTATTGTATGGTAGTTAGATTTTTAATTTTCTTCAACATATTTTAACATGTTTTACCACGTTTTACCATGTGGTATTGTATGGTAGTTAGAATTGTAATTTTCTTCAACATATTTTACCATGTTTTACCATGATAGTAGAAAGTGATAATCATATTTATACTTGTAATTAGTGTCTTTAACACTGTATTATTTAATGAAAAAATCATCATTCAATTTGAGCTGGAATTAGTTTAGAGATAGTTAGAATGGTTAGATTCATTTTTGTTGTAGATGGGAGAGAGAAGAAATAATGTATATTTTTTCTTTTAATAATAAAATAAAACAAAGATTGAGAGAGAGGGGAACCAGACAACCAGTGTGGGGTGGGGGAATGGGATCCGCGTCTGGTCAAAAAGTCAGCGTCGGCGCGTCAGCGTCATCATTAAATAGGGGGTGCAAATTACCTTAATGCCCCTCCGTGTTTAATTTAAATAAAAGGAAAAAGCTGACACGTGATTGGATTACTGACAGTTACTGATAGCAAGGATACTGACCTGATCTGGTCCCGCTGGAGTGGTGGAACCAGTGAGAGAGAGATAAAGAAGGACGACATTTTTCTTTCCTACTCTACAGTCTACAACGTGCGGACGGAAAAATACATAAACGGAAAGTTTAATGACCACCGTATTGGGCCTCAAGCCCTACAGTATAATCATACGGTCGTTAAAAAGTCACTATTAACTACACTATTAATTATAGTGGTGAATAAGACATTATCAAGGGATCCGTTACCGTAACAATACTCTTTTTGTTGTTAGGATGACAACACTAGTCTCCAACTAATATGAAGATAGAGTTGTGATGACTTTTTATTAGTCGAGTTGACCTAGTGTAAAATCAAAGTAGGGGTATAATTGTCATTATGAAAAATATGTTCAAATAATAATAAAAATTTAAAAAATATTTTTTTATTTTATGCCCAAAATTCTGTCGCCGGAATTCGGCCACCGGTCGTTGGTCACCGGAATATGCTTTTTGTCACCGGAATATGCTATTTTGTCGTCACAATATGCCCACCGTCGCCGGAATATGCACCATGGTCGGAATATGCTTACCAGCGTCAGAATCTAGTCATCGGGCCAGAATATGCCTATCGGCGTCGGAATCTGCTCACTGACGGTCATCGGAGTTTGGACAACGAATTTCGTTGACTAATCAACGGTCAACGACCACCGGATGTTATGGTCTGCATTGTGAGATTTATAGTTTGGTTTCTCGTGTTTTTGGTATGCCTTTTGTGGTTTGGTTTATTGTATTTTTGGTTTGCATTAAGAAGTTTCTGGTGTGCTTTCGAAACTTTTGCGGTTTGCTTTGCGAGGTTTCTGGTTTGTTTTAATATATTTGTGGTCTACATTAGGACGTTTCTGGTTGGCTTTGTGTGGTTTGCTTTACCGTGTTTGTGGTTCGGATTATGAGGTTTCTGGTGTGCTTTTGAAATTTTGTGATTTGCTTTGTGGGGTTTTGTTATGGTTGAAGAGACTTGAGGTTTGCATTAGAAGGTTTCTGGTATACTTTTTGTGATTTGCTTTACTGTGTTTGTGGTTTGCATTAGGCGATTTCTGGTGTGGTTTAGAAATATTTGTGGTTTAATTTATGGTATTTCTAATATGTTTATGAGATTTATGCTTTGCTTTAGAAACATTTGTGGTCTGTTTTATAATGTTTTTGTTATGTTTAGAAAGATTTGTGTTATGCATTAAAAAAACTTTTTTGCCATATTGTGACCAAAACATGAAATACACAACCAAAATTTGTGGTCAATCTCGATAAATGGCAATATTGTAGCATCATTACATGACATGAATTGCCAGTTAATTCCATATAACTAAAAAAAGCTGGTGAAGTTCCTTCAAGTACCACTACACAACCGAGATGAATCCAATTAACCTAATCCTAATAAAATCCAATCAATCAGATTACTCAAGTTCCACTACACAAACAAACTTTAGTTATGGGTCGCTTGCTTTAGGGTAGTGCAGAGCCACTGGATGTGAAGAGATTCCAGGAAGATGAAGCTGCTAAGGAACTCCGCAATCACAAGAAACTCTCCAACTCCCATGCTCTCTCACTCTAAGCGGTCTTACTCTCTACATGGCCGCAACAAGCAGCTTTGAGCACCAACTGGTCGCAGCACACGACGAAGTGGAAGCGGCGGCATTGCAATCCAATGATCCAGATTCATCGTCGAAATCCACAATCTCCTCGAGAAAGTACGCGAGCAGTGAGATCCTGCGCCCCAGATCCATGGAATCGTTCATGAGTGGCGGAGCAGCGGCGGCGGAGGCACCCCCGCTTCTTCTGACGAGATTGATGTCTCCGCCTCCGTCGCAGGCATTTTGGGGGAGAGAAGGGTTGAGACGGCGACGATGGGATCTAAATGGGAGAGAGGATGAAATAGTTTATTTTTCTTTTATTATGTTTATTGTCATTTACGGTTATGCCCTTGCTGTTAGTGTGTTGTTACACTATACAGGCCCCTTTATCAACTACCGTATTTGATACGCTGGTAAAGTTACGAAGGTAAAAAGTAGTTTTCCTGTAGTGTCTCTAAGGTGATAGCTATCTCTCTGAATACTCATGATGTACTAAGTCGTAAATTAATTGTTTACTCTTGTACAACCAACTAATTAACGACCTAGTCTGAAGTCCGATAACTCCTATATTCACATATTTTAATAACATTATGACAACAAAAATTTTGTAATGTTATAGGTGTATCGGATACAATTATCAAAGGTGTGTTGGAGATCCGTTGTTCTTATTTTTTATACCGAAAAAATATGGGTTCCTCACAAAAAATTCGGGCGAAGGTGTGTCACTCGGTGGGTCCTCCCCTGATGGTGGGTGGACGATGATGAAATGTTGTAAATGATAGTTAGTATATTCCTATTATAATGTGCACACCATTCTACAGTATGGTATATTGATACCACCATGAATCCATAACACACTTTCATACCACGTGGTATAATCTTATGTGCATATCAATATATAGTACCGCATGATATGAACTGGTAATAAATGCCAATTTTTTATTTTCCAAAATATATAAAAGTGGATGTCATTTTGGAGAGCACAATTAATCTGTTTTTTTTTTGTACAATTTTCTTTTAATTTTGACTTAAAATGAAAGAGATATAGGTCGTTAAAATTTATGGGGAAAAAGTTAGAAGGCTTCCATAAATAGTAAGTATAGGGTTATGCATGATTATGCACCTATAAGTTATATATTGCATCCGCTCCCATTCATTTTGATATTGTATGTGGTGATGGCAAACGGGTGGGGCGGGACAAGTATCTCAATACCCATATCAAGATTAGTGATGGCAATGGGGCGGGGCGGGTACCGCAATACCCATGCCGCGCCCCACGAGATTGTGGGTCGGGACGGGTAAAACCCGTGTGAGTATGGGGCGGGTCGACCCACTCTTACATGTTAATTAAAAAATACACACAAATTTTACTTTTTACTATAATCCGGTTAGCGTCCTATTTGATATTCGAGATCTGAATCACTATTTATCGCTCTATAATTCAAATTTTATCACCCTAAAACACAATAAAATAACATATTTATCTCTCACCCCAATTTCAATTCTCAACCCTAACCAAACAAGCCCTTGTCCCTTAACTCACCATAACCCACATCTGCGCATATTGAAACCCCAATTGCATAGAGTGTCTCCTCGTTAAGAATGCTAGAGGGAACCATGTGAAGGGCGAATTTCTTCCCCTCAGAATTAATTGATTGTATGGCCAACATTAGCTCCACCCTGGAATTCAAAAGGCAAGAGAAAGCATAACTAAAGGTAGCTACAATCTCTCCGATTGATTCGGTAATCAGAATCCTAAATTATCATACCTAATCCAGCTTTCAACACCTAAGCGCAAGAAACACGAAACTGAAAAGAGAAATGAAAGCTTAAACCTTAGATAGTTGACACATCGCTAACAATTGATGCAAACAAGAAAAATCGAAAACGCGGAAAAGTAGCATCGATTTAAACCTGGCAGCGGGCAATAACCTGTCAAAATGTTGAGCCAATATGTCGACGAGCTTGCCTTTACCTTCGTCTCCCCACTGGCACCCCAGCATGCCGGCAACTTGACTCATCGATCCGATTCGAGCGATGGAGTCGCTGGAAGTGGAATCGGTGACTTTGAGCGATGGGGAGGACTTGAGGGCGGAGCAGAGGACGGCATCGCGCTGAGGAGAAGCAGAGGAGAGAGGGAGGTGCGAGTGGTGGTGGCGGCGGAGGGAGCTCCAAGCGGGTGAAGCAAGAGGATTAAATTCAAGAACAAAGGAAGAAGAGAAGACGTTCATGGCGGATGAAGAAGCAGGAGGAATTGGTTGTTAGAGAGTGGTATAAGATCCATCATAACCTTCTCCCAAAAACTCGAGTTATTGGGACTAACTGATTATTGATATGGTATCAGAGCTGGTTTGGCCAAGTCGTCGTGTGTTCGAATCTCCACGACTCCCAACATTAACATTTGATTAAATGCACAAGGTATGGTGGGCCTGTGCAAACTTCAAGCCCATGGGTTGGCTTTCGTTTGAGGGGGAGTGTTAGATAGTGGTATAAGATCTAGCATAACCTTCTCCCAACAAGGGAGCGTGTAATAATCGATAATGCGGAAGACAAAGAATGAGACGACACCCGAATTTACGTGGTTTTCCCGTTCGAATAAAACAGGACTAGTCCACGGAGAGCTTT